GTGCGGCTGTGGCTGCTGGCCCGAGCGCCCCACCATCCCTGCATACTGCTGTTGGGTAGTGCTCTGTGAGGTTCTCCCAGCCGTGGCAGCTGTGGTGCTGGCACCATAGCTACTCGCACTGTACTCTGCAGTGCCATAGCCACTCGTGCCATAGGCAGCTGCTCCATAGCTCCCTTGAGCGTAACCATACTGGCTCTGTGCTGCCCCAAAAGCAGAATTTGGGCTCCCATAGGCACTGCCATAGGTCTTGTTGGCTCCGTTGGCAAAACTGTCACCACGATCACGGTCTCTGAAGCCACCTGAGTCTCTCCGGCCCTCTTTCACTCCCCGGAGCCTCCTGTCACACTCCTCCTGGTACATCAGGTTAGGGTTGTTTACTGAACTGCTCGTTCGGTAACGAGAGCGACCTCCTGGCGATGGATACATTAAGATTTAGTACCATGAACAAGTCTTAAACAATGAACTCTGGTACAATTACGCCACCCTTTTCCCCCCTTCTACATCCACAATGTTGACCACAAGGAGCAAGTTTTTTCGACTGACTACAGCTTTCCTGAATGCTGTGCATACACCTCTTCATTTTGTTCAAGGTGCAAATATGAAGTTCAAAAAGAGTTCTGAATGTATGTGCTTGGGGACAAAGAGCAGAATTTCAGGACTGAGGTGAAAATAAAACAAAACTTATTATTCCTTCAGGGAACACAAGGAAAAAACAGTCTCAGTCCCTGAAGGTAAAGTCAGCGTTATCTCTTTACTGATTTCAGTCTCTCACATGCATGCACACACATGCCTGTGCTCAGGTAGGAGATGCAACTAGTTAATTAACTCAAGTGAAATCAGCTGTGAGGGCCTGAGCATTTTTTACCTTTTTACCTGTTTTATCTTGGCAATTTACCTTACAGCTAAGGTAAAACAGCAGCCTACATCTTTTCCGGACAAAAACAGTACAGTGTGTAACATGTTGAGATCTCAGGTACGAACCAGCTTCATTACTAATTGTCTGTTACTCTAGACTTGTGCTTCCTACTTCCCTACCTTCCCCTATTCTTCCCTCCCTCAAAATGAGGAATCTTTTCCCTGGGTAGCCCTTTTCCCATGCGCTTTTACCTCCACCACCACCTCCTCCTCCTCGGTGGTCCACGAGCTGCATCAGTTTTGGATTGATGGCTTGATTGGCTTCTTCCAACACTTTGATAAGCTCCCTGGCTTGTTTCAGGTTTCCTGGAGTGAAGAAGGTGTAGGCAGTACCTTTGTTGGTACTACGAGCGGTACGGCCAATACGGTGCACATAATCTTCAGAGCTGTTCGGATAGTCGTAGTTTATCACAAATTTAACATCTTCCACGTCTTGTGAAGTGCCCAGGTGCGAAGCACAGTGAAGGGGTGGGGTTGAGGAAAGGGGAGAAGAAGAGAGGACGTGCCAACGAAAGGTGGGGAGCACGAATGCAGATGACAGTAATAAGAAAAAAAAAAAGTTAGTAATTGCATGGAATAAATACAAGACAAGACTCATCCCAAAAAGAGTAGAAGACTCAAATTTACGATCATCAGGAAGAAAGATCAGTCTCCTGAAATGCGGCGGTAATTTTAAAGCAGTTCTGCCCTGCACTCAAACTCATCCTCCCCAGCATGCATTTCTCTGTCTTTGCATGTCAAAGACATTGATGTTTGTGAATGAACTAAATGAACTTGTTTGTTTTTTGTTTTTAAAACCACAATGTGGAAAGTGAAAATGCCACCAGACAGAGCAAACTTGGGTGGAGGGAGGGCAGAACTGCTACAGTTAAGCTTCTACTCTTTTAGGAGAAGTCTAACAAATAAAAACAGTAATGAGATCACTTACCTTCCAGTTGGTAACATGAAATAAAAGGCAATCTTAAAAATATTTACTTTACAGGCCTGATAAAATACCGTGAACTACTTTCCCTAGCCTAAAGCTTAAGACACTCCAATTACATTAGTATTATTATGTCAAGTCATTAAAAATTACCCAGACCTAGAGTATCTTAACTCAGCTTTGTAGTTACCACCAGAATGCACTTGCACTAACATTTCACCGTGTTGTTCTGCCCCGTTTTGGCAAGCTTTCATAATTTGGACAATACTGAATTCCATTAACAATTCCCTACTTCCAGGGTCAGATGGAAGCAGGAAATTAAGTGACCAAAACTGCTCTGTGTACAAAGTATTAAAATTTAGGAGATCAGAACTGCATGCCTTTTGGAAAGTCAGATTTCATGAACTTCAGGGACAGAAACAAAGTAAATGTTAGTGTAATGCTGCAGTGAAAGCACCTCAAGTACCAAAAGCACCTATTTGCTATAGTATACAATACTTTAAAAAGCATGGTATTACAAGTATCCTGACAGCTCAAAAAAAAATTTTTTTTAAATCTGCATTTTAAGAAGAATATTCTGAAAATATCCTAGATAAAACACAGATTTTTGTGATTTCCTTTCCTTTTTTTTTTTTGTTTCGTTTGTTTTGTTTTAAAGAGAGAAACATTCTCTGTTTGTTACCAGACCGATGCACACTCCCTCCTCCTGTGGGAAACCGCTGCAGCCGATCCCGTCTCTTTGCCTTTTATTTTTGGCGGCCTCCTTTCGAAAACTCCGCCCTCTGACACGGGACCACTGGAGCGCGGGGAGCATGCATCAAGGGTCCATGGCAGCGAGAAGTCCCCACACACGCTCGCTCTGTGAACTGGCTTAGACGCTTCTCTGTTGCCCCATTTGGTTGTGAAGCGCCGGAGAACCTGGGCTCAGGTAAAAGTTTCAGGTCCTCCAACGCTTTTTTTGTCCCCTATTTGGGGTTCTTAGGGGCAATTGTCAAAAAAAAAACAAAGATACAAAAAGTACATCCAAAGGGTCAGACTGCATCTATTGCCCAGACTGCATCAATTTCAAAGGGGTTGTAGGAAAAATAAAAACAAGAGGGTCGTAGTGGCAAGAGGGGAACTTTATGTCTGTTTCTTATTACAGCAAAGAGGGGGCTCCTCAGTCTTTGCTGACTCCAAAGTCCTGAATCACACCAAAAAAAGGGAGTGAGAAGGCAGGTTTCACAGGGGGCTGCGCGAGTCTCCAGCTAGGGTCCTTGATGCAACAGGTTTTTTTTAAAAGGGGAAAGTGAAGTAAAGAGGAGTACATGTGACAGATGGCATCTTCACAGCCAAGGCGTAACTAGTTTGATAAGCTGCAGGCTACATGATCCTCAGTCAGTCCCGTTTTGCACATCCATCAGTAGCAAAGCGATTCGAATTACCAGAGGCCTGAAGGACGTGCTTTCCCGGCAGAAAGCACAGGAACTGCAGCTACCAATGCAGAAGGAACTGACTTGACTGGGGAGGAGTGAGAAGAATGGGAAGACAGGAATGGGAAAATACAAGGGTGTTTTCCAGACTAGAACGTGGTCCTGGGAGAGCACGCAGCTTGCTGAAGAAAGACCAGAGCAAGTACAAGACTCTGCTTCTCCAGTCTAGCATGCTCCGAAACACACACTCACAATCTTCCTGTGCTTTTAGAAGATAGTATAGCAGGATCAAGAATTGAAACTGCACATCATTTTTAACAGCTACCTGGGAACATTCCCTTTGTCAGACCATCAGAATACCCTATGGCATGACAGTCTCTGGTTATTAATCAGGAGATATAAACTAGCAAACATGCTAGTCTAGAGAGCTGTTTAGATCATCAATGTAAATGTGCCCCCACCCCTGCACTGAGAATGATCTGCAACTGATATCAGAGCTTCTGTTAAAGAAAACAAAACAAAACAAATTCAATGTTTTTAGTTTAATAAACTGAACAAAAAAATTAAGTAAAAAAAAAAAAAAATCAGTGCAGAGAGAGGACCTCACTCCAGGGAATTATCACAAAGAAGTCATTACGGGACTCAGAAACTTACCTGGAAACAGCTTTTTTGAAACCAATGTTCCATTAGGAAGAGGGAAAGCCCTGGTGACTCAGCCAAAAGGCGCGCGCCCCTGTTTTATGTTATTTAGGTAGAAGCCTTCACTTTCCAGGATCTTGGAGGAAGTCGTCCAGAAGTTTGCCAGTTAAGTGACTTACTTTAAGAAGCAGCAAACTCAGGGCCCCAAAACAAGCAGAGATGTTGTTCAGTAACAAGAAACAGACTCTGGTACCTTTCCCCCTTAGCTGAGGTGAAGTGGAGGATGGGAAGTGGGGAGACTGTTTTCTGAAGTGTTATCCAATTGAGTAGTTTTTGGGGAGTGCTTTTTTGAGGGGGGTGAGGCTGTTTTAAATGTCTAGGCAAGATGCACAAAGAAGCTACCAGCACATAGCAAGCCTGTTTAAAAAATGCTGCTAGAGAAAGCAGCTCTCTTTCATACAAACTGGTTTCAGGCCTCAGTCCCTTCTCCCAACAGGCCCAAGTTCTAACTGCACAGGTCCAGACATGACCCTAGAGGGCAGAGACTGAAGTCCATATAATCACCTCTCTGAGGAAGTGTTGGATGTTTTTTTGAGGGGGGAGGGGAAGGAGGGGTGAAGGTTGTGTGAACAAGGCTGCCAAGTCTAGTAATGGTCTGCCTGTATTAAAGTGACCATATGATGCACAGCACAGCCACCCTTTCAGCATAAGAAAGAAGAGCTCAGACAATGGAAGTATTAACAGCTAGACATTTTTCTGAGCTTATTTGCAATGACTCACAGTAATTTTTTGTCTGGAATTTACTACAATGAGACATCAACCCCCAAGCAGTTTATCCTCTATCAAAATTGGGGGGGGGGGGGGGGAGATAATCACGTTG